TGCCTGCCCCGCTGCGTGCCCTTTGCTGGGAATAGAAAGTGGGGTCACATACACCCCCCTGCCCCGGGGATGTCACCACATGAGCAGCCATTAGGAGTGTTACGGCAGTGGGGGCAGCATTAGGGGCATCGCGGGAGCCCAGCACCAGCAGAGGGTGAGGCTGAAGCCTGATATTAAAGCTATTAGCAGCTATTTTAATCAGCTATTAGGGGGATTACGGTAACCAGGCCCCAGTATTTGCACCTTGAAGGGAACTAGACCTCACTCGTATCGTAGCTGGGACCCTGGTGTCACCTCTGGAGCAGCTGTGAGGGGTCTTATGGCACCTGGACCCCAACATGAGGGGTGTTAAGGTACTTAAACCTGCCGTTACGATAATTTGGACCCTAATACTAAACTGAAGCAGCTTTTAGGGGAAATATGGTAGCGGGTCTCCTGGGGGAGACTGGCTAGCTGAGAAGGGTCAGCTAGTCCAGCAAGAGCTCAATAAGCACCGTACTCAGCTTATCTAACTCCCAATAACTGCAAGGCCTTGAAGTTGTTCTTCTGGCCTTGAAGGCAGCTGTGGTCCAACAACAGAATGTCTGTGGTAAGGTAAACATGTAACTGTAAGAAAGGAATTTCGGGCGGAACTGTCTTTTTAGAACTAACCAATAATGAGCTCTCATTTTGCAATATGTATGAGCTAATTATGAGTGTGCATAAAAGAATGGTAGTGTGTCTAAATAAACGAAGCTTGCTGGTCAGCCATATTGAGTGCTCTTGTCTTCCCTCCGTCGCAACAAATGGCGCCCGAACAGGGACCAGGACCCTATAGAGGGCGGGACCTGTGAACAGGGACCCTATAGAGGGCTGAACCTGTGAACAGGGACCCTATAGAGGGCGGGACCTGCGAACAGGGACCCTATACAGGGCAGAACCTGTGAACAGGGACCCTATAGAGGGCGGGACCTGTGAACAGGGACCCTATAGAGGGCGGGACCTGCGAGCCACGGTTCGGCGGAGCCCGGGACCTGTGAACAGGGACCCTATAGAGGGCGGGACCTGCGAACAGGGACCCTATACAGGGCAGAACCTGTGAACAGGGACCCTATAGAGGGCGGGACCTGCGAACAGGGACCCTATACAGGGCAGAACCTGTGAACAGGGACCCTATAGAGGGCGGGACCTGTGAACAGGGACCCTATAGAGGGCGGGACCTGCGAACAGGGACCCTATACAGGGCAGAACCTGTGAACAGGGACCCTATAGAGGGCGGGACCTGTGAACAGGGACCCTATAGAGGGCGGGACCTGCGAGCCACGGTTCGGCGGAGCCCGGGTACTGGTCCTGTAAGCAGCGCAGGAGGCGAAAGGGACAAATCCCCGCGCCCAGGAGCACCTATAGAGGGTCCTGTGAAGGTGAAAGGGACAAATCCCCGCGCTCGGGAGCACCTATAGAGGGTCCTGCGAAGGCAAAAGGGAAATCCCCGCGCTCGGGAGCACCTATAGAGGGTCCTGTGAAGGCAAAAGGGAAATCCCCGCGCTCGGGAGCACCTATAGAGGGTCCTGTGAAGGCAAAAGGGAAATCCCTGCGCTCGGGAGCACCTATAGAGGGTCCTGCGAAGGCAAAAGGGAAATCCCTGCGCTCGGGAGCACCTATAGAGGGTCCTGCGAAGGCAAAAGGGAAATCCCTGCGCTCGGGAGCACCTATAGAGGGTCCTGCGAAGGCAAAAGGGAAATCCCTGCGCTCGGGAGCACCTATAGAGGGTCCTGCGAAGGCAAAAGGGAAATCCCTGCGCTCGGGAGCACCTATAGAGGGTCCTGCGAAGGCAAAAGGGAAATCCCTGCGCTCGGGAGCACCTATAGAGGGTCCTGCCGGCCACGCGTCGCCGAGGTCTTGCAAAGGCTGCAACAGCGCTGACGAAGGTATGGATAGACAAGCGACGTATGCATTGCTCAAATGCTTTTTAGAGGAGCGGAGCATTTAGGGTATAGATTGTAAAAAGGAGTTGCCTGATTTATTAGCTTATGGGGTAGCGAGAGGTTGTTTTGATAACCCAGATACGGTTTTCGAACAATAGG